CACTGAGATCTCGGATCCTTTCTTGCCTTGGTGCATGTTCCAGGCCTTGAGGCTTGCTGGCATTATAAATAAATATAGCAAGGAGGACTGACGGAGCTTCCAAGAAAAACTCCAGGGAGGGCCTGAAGTCAAACACCAGGACAGCCACTGTTGTGATGATGACAGTGGTGACCTGGGCCATCAAAACATGGAACATGTTATCCAGAAACTTTAGGATAAATGCCACTGACAGGCCCTGGAACACAGTGACAAAAATAAGCGCTATTGAAAATGCATTGTGGCCATAAAAAAATCCACAGTTCGTAATCTGATCACGATTATTGTTTTGAAGGCCCAGGGTGAGTGCGTTAAAAAGAACGCCAAAGAAATAGAGCTTGCCATTCTGAATGAAGATGCTTTCAGTGAGCTGGTTTCCTTCCTTCAATATCTTTTCATTATAGATATTGGCCATTGAAGAAATGAAACACTGGACTATAATAAGAACATGACCCAAGCTGAGAGAGATGTGACTGAAGACCTGGGCTGTGGTGTTCCACTTAGATTCAGGAAAAGGCCACTTCTTTGATGTGTCATTGTCTTTTCTGGGCCCCTCATCTTTGAAAACCAAACAGGAATTGGATGGGCGGAAGAACACATCATGATGAAATCCATGCCCTGCCAAGTTATGCTGTGAGGTTTTGGTTCCGGCAGTTAGGGCCACAATCGATAAAAACAGAATCAGGAGGGAGGCCCACTGTATCCAGTTTAGGTACCGCAGGCTGAAGATAGGATAGGACATAGAAAACAATCAAGTTATCCAGGAAATAAAGAAAGGCAGGAATGGACCACTTCATGAAGTTGGAGAACGCCTTCCAGGAAGTACATCTTAAGTTTTTACTTTGATGATCTTCTCATGTGGAAAGGCAGATCAAAGCAAGAGAGCAAAGCCTCAATACTGGGGGAACTGGTGAAGCAGAATCCCTGCTTTCTTTATAACCCAGAATGACACAAGCACACATAAAACAAGCTTTACCAGTTCTGAGCAAACATTCACAGTAGTTGGAAGATAATCATACTTGTTCTCTTCATTGGCTGAGTATTTCACCAATAGGATGCGACTTGAGCTTAAAGCAATGAAGATGGCTCCCAGAAGGAATGCATATATTTTTGACAATGAGCAGAGAACACGATGACCACAGCATTTGTTTTCCATTCTGCTGGTTTTTAATTGTCTCGGTCCCATAGAGGAGCTTGTAGTGGAAGAGCTCACATCCTATAGCAGGGAAAGTAACTGACTAGCACCGTAGTAGCTGAAGTAGGTTTTAGGATCCATAGGCGAAGCTTTGGCAGGGAGAGAAACGAAAAAAACCTCTTCCCCCAAGTCACTATTCCGGAACAGAAAGCCAGATTACAACCCGGTTAGGAAGAAGCGAAAGGAGAGCTGTATGATCTCTTATATGTAAGTCTTCAGTATAAGAGATATAAATTTAAAAACAACCAGAGAGCAGTGAATTTTATTTTGTGACAAATGACTGA